TGCAGCATTTCAGTTTATCTGCTCTTAATTCATCTTGGCAAAGATCAAACAATCTATATTTCTTTACTAACTATTTTAAAAAATGCGGATAATCCTCAAACATTTGTAGGACATTATTTCCGGGCGTAGAATAATTTGTCTTTGAGTTTTGAGGAATTTATTAGTTTGGGTTTGGTATATAAGGACTGCATATAACGGACAAGTTCTTCAAAGTCTGATTGAATTGAGGTTCATGTGGTTTTTGCATCGATACGTACAAAAAGGAAACAATAGCGGCACTATTATGTGTGACGTTTAATTTTAAACAATGCAAGTAATTCAATGTATTTATTTCTTTAATGTGATTAGAATAATTAAAACAAAAATAAAATTAACCGTATAGTTAAAAGGAAAAGTACGCCCGTTGATGAAGGCGCAGAGATACAACTATTCGTACTTGATGGATGTCCGTGTTGCGTCTGCAAAATTGAAGGCGCGATAGCGCGAGGCGTAAACTCGGAACTTCACGTTCACGCTGCCAATGAGGTGTGACTCACATTTGGGGAAAAAACGAGGCCAAATTATGCCTCTCCTATCTTCCGGCTGTGTTGACACTCGATTTTTTCTCTTTTTTTTCTATTTGGTGTCTGATTCTTTTTCACAATGTATTTTTGAAAGTATATCTAAAGCTCGTGTTTGCCGGCCCCAACAATCTGTGGAGCACGTGTTTTCAGCAAATCTCGGGGCAATGACCCGTCTCAGGCATATAAGGGTTACTTTAAGTTTTTTTGTCGCTGCAATATTAGAGACTGTCTGAAATCTCAGATTATTTCTATCCCAAATAAAATGCAAAATAAAATAATTTGCACGATATTAGTAACATCTAAATGATATCAATGTCGAAGGCAATTAGTCAAAGCTGGCATTTTACTTAATGCCTATGCCGGTAGTCAAATTTTGACAGTTTACGGACTTCTGGAAACTTAAGGCGAGGAGTTCAAGGGGTTTTCGATATTTTAGGAAGAATACTCTTCAAATCCGCGAACTCTCCTTGTTCCTTCCTTTTTACATGCCTTTAGTACTTTTGAATGTTGAAATTTTAAAATTTTTATGTTTTATGACGTGCTGCAAATTTCATGAGAGATGTGCATTCAGGATCTTAAAATCGTTTAAAATACTATTGCATGCTGCATATTTTCACAGAGGATTCTTTCTTACAAAAGTAACGAGTTATGTTGTCCAAAATTAGGGTAAAAAATCAAAATTTCAACCTGAGTAAGAAGATTTGACTATTTGCCTAGGCATTTGACAATGTGCCTGATTTGACTATTTTTCTTCGACGTCAATACCTTTCCCCAAAAGTCAGTCTATATTAGTAAGACGATAAAGCTAAAAGAATGTAGAGTCGACACATAAGAGGGCGAAGAGAAAGTCCAATTTTCCCGTTTTAACATGATCCCCCCTTAATACTCAAAGATGATACTTTCTCCTGCGAGTAGTTGGGAACTTGGTAGATATTCCACGTGCTGGCCCGAGACCCGAGACCGAGACGAAAAGGGCAGCCGTCGCGTCGACGGGACGCTGGAACCGGGAGGAGACGAGGTGGAAAGCGAGGAAGGAAAAGATTTCCAATTTCACACGCTTCTGATTCGGGAAATAAATTGCCGTTATTTCGTCGTTTCGTGTGCTTTGCATCCACAATACACTTAGCACCCATTTACTTAAAATCGCAATTTTTTCCTCGGCCCACCTTGGTCTCTGCTCAGCGAGCGTTGCCGAGTTCTATCTACTATGATGTTATTCTTGGTCAGTATCAACTCGCGAAGTAGGATGGGTCTCCAGACGAGTGTTCGAAACTCACAGGCGCTAACACGCCAAATGCGCCTAAGAAATCGGTTATGGCGCCTAAAACAAAGCTCTGTGCTGACCCCCTAAGTGACTACGTCTAAGTGACCCCCTAAAATTGCTCCCCAACCCCCAAAAAAATCCTAATTTTTCTGTTTGGTGATTTTTGGACATTTAGTATAATAGTATAATAGTAATAGATAAATTCACGGCAACCCATGAGGGATCTTGTAGTTAGTCCATCATTTTCTCTCTTAGTCTAGAAAAACCACCCGGTTTTACCAATAGGATCGCTCAATTTTCGCTGTGTCCTCTTTGTATATCACTTCGTGTATCAATTGGACGTATTTCTATCAAACGGACCTAAGCGCCATAGGGTGAGGAAGGTAGAGGGGGGCTTAGATTGGCGGCGGAATCGGGCGTCCGGCTTATTCCGTCCTATACTCGCAATGCTTTTCCATAGCGCTTAGGTCCGTTTGACAGAACGCGCTATCCGGGATTCTAAATACCTCATAGGGAACTCAAATTGGCGCTTAGTTCCGTTTGATAGAAATACGTCCAATTTCAATTATTAGCGAGCTGGAAATCCAGACAAAGAGGACAAACAGAAGATGAAGCGATCCCCTCGACGGAAGCAGATGGTTGCATTGGACAAAGAAAGGAAGTAAAAGACGCATCTCACCCACCCTTTAGTGGTATAAGAACCACCCGTTCCAACCAATAGGATTGCTTCACTTTCCCTTTGTCTCCTTTGTCTATCATTTTGTCTATCAATTTCAATAATCAGCCCGCTGCCTGTATCCTCGAAGAAAATCCCTAATTTGACTATTTGCTTGCGGCATGTATTCCTTGATTAAAAAAGGAGGAGGGAAAGTACCCGATTTTTTAAAGGGCCGCCTTAATTCAAGACGGAGGGATGGCTGAAACTTCCTTAGTTCCATCAATTTGGGGCGGCAACTCTGTGGGATGGCGGCTTATCCGCACGTTTCAACGCGCCGCGGCGTCTAATTCGGAAATCAAGTCATCTCGAACGACGCCCTCCGTCTGCGTCGGCCTTGAGTTTAAAACAATGTTTATGACGATTTATCCCAATTACGGAGCGTATTTATATTCACGCACACACGCGCTCCCGCGCCGCGGTTTAAATGTCGAACTCGTTTTTTAAACGTCCGCCGGGAGATAAGCAACCGCCTCTCATCCCGACTCGGGGACGTAGAAAAATTAAAGGACCGCCAGGTTGCCAAACGAGTCACTCGAGGAATGAGCTGTTGGTGGCTAACTTCTGGAAACGTATAACTCAATTGGACTGTATTTTGCAATAACTATAGCTTAAGCTCATCCACAATAGTACCATTAGTACCTATCTGCGAAGGGAACCAAGTAATGGCACATAATTTGTTTTATAAATGAGTCAGAAATAGTGGTTCTTTATTGCAATATGTTGTCCAATTACAGACCGAGACTGTTTCATCTCTAAGTTTAGCACACAAATGGACTGCATTTTGCAATTTGGAACTATACATTCTGGCTCATATGAAAAAATACTTATGTGCACAGGGAAACTAATGGCACATACGTTATTTTTAAACCGGGCCGGAATTTATAGTTCCTAATTGTAAAATGCAGTCCAAATGTGGTCTTTCTCTTAATTTTGATTTTTATATTATTTATTTTTTCTCACCAAGGAGTGAATACTAGTTGGGTAGTTCGTCTCGGAGCATTGAACAATATATTTTCAGCCTCATTTCCTGTTTCTAATGCGGTATTTGCGCATTAAAGCAATAAAACGGTATTTCGCCTTCTGATAGTAAGATTGGCAAAAGCGGCCACATAAGAGCCGCAAGAGTGGTATCCCCATGTTTGACCCGACATGTGTTTGCTCATGTCCAAAACGTACCTCCTCATAAGGTGATATCACCAATTGTCCTGTGGAGGGGAAAACATCTTATGAGCATTTAAATGTCGCCGAATGTCTTCCGATAAAGTACAATTTCCCAAAATACGTGCGAATTTTCGCCCTCTTTTTCAAATAAACTTAATCTGACGAATGTAATAGGAAGAGATTAAAACATGGAAAAGCAAGGCTAAAACATCAAAAAGGCCGTTCATGTCGAGCCGTTACCGGCTCATTTCCAACTGCAAATTAACGAAAAATTAACAAAAAAGTTAAATGTAAACCTGACCCCAATCGTTATCATCAAGTAAACACTGGAATCCAGCACTGAACAGCCGATCAACATCCATTTATGTGTTAAATGTTTTAGCCTTGTCGACCCATGTAACCTCTTCTTGTTGTATCCGTATATTCGGACTATGTCTTCGTGTACTTTATCCTTAATCTGACGTCTTTACAAATCTTAAGGAAAGACGTTCGCAACATTTCTCAATAATACATATTTCATCGGAAGAAATTCTGCAAAATGTCTATGTCCGCGCGGCCTTTTTCCTTAACACGGTGGAATTGAAAACGTCAAGCAAGTCTTTTTTTATGCTTTCTCCGCTTTCACCATGGCGTCCTAGGACCTTTGACAACGACGCGTGAGGTAACCGCCTGAGGGAAATTACGGATTCCGGCAGTATCTTACTTTCGTTTAACGGGCGGATTTCCCTCCAAATTGACACTTGCCCGTGGTTTCTTTATCCCCACTTTATTTTCCTGCGCCCTTTTCCTCCCATCAAGCCGCGGAAAATCACCGCGCCCGTGCGGTTTGGGTAATATAATCCTGCAACTCCTCGAGAAATATTCAATCGGACGATTCGATACACCAAGAAAAATTAGGTCCGTTCTTTATTATAAACTCTGTTTATTAGCAGGGATGATACGAAACTTCTGGAGATCATTTTTTAGGCATCCTGGGTCTAATTTAGACTGAGTTCAGGAGAAAAGTGCAAAGAATCGATGTGTCTGTTTATTGAAGCCGCAACCTTATAAAATTCACGTTTGAAAAAAAAAAAAAAAAAAAAAAAAAAAANCTGTTATTTCTTTCTTCGCGAAGCAATTTACGGCACACCTAGTATTTTTACGCAGAAAATCTCGTGACAATTCCATACCGTAAATTATAGAAAAAGCATGGAATGTCCTCCAAGAAAAAAATAGACCAATTTTTGCGAAAACGAGATGTCTCTAACTATCTTGTCGTTGGTTTTTAACATGATGGATTTCCCGTTTGTTCCAGAGAGAGTGCTAAGTCGAACGGGATGTGCAGCTCTCCTCAGCAGCGGAGGCGGCGCAGCAGCTCCGACGAGGAGGTCGTCGGCATGAGCGGATTCAGCAAGGCGCTCCTCCGGCACCCCCCGCTCCTCCCCGCCAACCTCCTCAAGCGCCTCTCCATCTCCGAGAGCTACAGCGTCGGCAAGGTAAGATACCACGCTAATGATATCAGACCCACTTCCTTCAATCAAATTCTTCGCCAGCGTCAAGTGAACATTCATTTTCTCCGGCTTATTTCCATCTCGGCAACAAGTTCCCAGTTCCAGCTTTCCAAGTTGAATTTCTCCTAGTTAAGATCTCTTCTTAGATATCGACGCTGAAATCGCAAGGTTGCTGACGGTCTGGAAAACCGGGAAAAGTCAGGGAATTTCTGACACAACTACCTATCAAAGTCTAGCAAAAGTCGGCGTGTTTTTACCCAAAAAATTATGGATGGAAATTTTGTTCTAAGGTCAGGGAATTAGACAATTTTGGAGTCGGGGTAAAAGCAAAAGAGTCAGGGAAAGTCAGGGAATTTAAAGATGAAGAATTCATGGCAACCCTGAATGGACCAGTAGACAAAGTACGAATTTCAGCATTCTGATACATGTTTCTTAACTAAAATTTCACGTAGACTACGACGCGCACAACGGAAATTACCGAAATCAACTCCTTCCGAAGATATTAATGATTCTTGGTGCGTGAATTCAAACCGCTCATGAAAACTCAATGCTCTGCGTGATTCACATCGTGCGCTAAACGTTATCATGACAGTCTCTGCGATATGAAAATCCAGCAACCTCAATCTTGACGCTTTGGCTCAGCTGTAGCAAATTGTTTATAGTTTGAACAACACATGGTGGGAAATGAACATTACTCGATTGAGAAGCTTGTTGAAACCTTTGTAGTGCGCGATTTGACTCACGTAGAGCTTTGAGTTTCTTGTGAGCGGGCAGTTCAAATTCCTCGTATAACCAATGTGAAATAAAAACGTTAATATCTTCGTTTGGAGTTTGTTTCATTAGTTTTCGTTCAATCGTGCTCTACGTGAAATTCTGATTAAGAAATATGTATCAGAATGCTTAAATTCGTACCTTGTCTAGTGGTCCATTGCTAATACACTCATTGCTGAACCCTTTCCAGCATTGCCACGACTCTCCTTCCTTGGATAATTAGAAGACCCTGCAGCGGGCTGATTACTGAAATTGATAGATAAAGCTATAGACTTAGAAGACAAATATAAAATGGCGCGATCCTTTCGGTCGGAACAAGTGATTGTTATAGACTAAGGAGAAAGTGATGGACTAGTTGCTGCAGAGTCCCTCGTGGGTTGCAGTTAGTTAGTCCATTACTTACTTCCTTTGTTCATTGCAACCACCCTCATCTACCAATAGGATTGCTCAGTTTTCTCCTTATCTTCTTTGGGTATAGATTTGTCTATCAATTTCAATAATCAACCTGCAGTAAGGTATTAATGGTTAAATGCCACTAATCCATTCGTAAGTCAATGTCAGCATAGACACCCCCGACCCTGTATAAACACTGCTCATTCATCGTTACCAATGTAAACAATGTTTATTGAAGGATACAGCGTTCTCTAAACAGAGGTAGAGGACAATGCGGATGAGGGAAATTTTAAAAGCAGAAACTCTCGCAGCTCGGTCGACGGTGCTCAGCTGCGACGCGGCTGTTGAATCAACTTTCAAAGCTCTCAGTCATTCGCGCCGGCAATAAATTCAATGCTATAACTAGGTGGGTAAATATTTTATTCGTCCCGAAACAACAAGGGTGCGCCCTGGAATGATTCCGCACTAAGACGCTGTGACAACCGCGTTGAGGTTGTCAATTGAGCGAAGTTCTCTGAGTTTCTATTTGTGAAATCCCGCATTTTTTCGTTCGTTTTGGCAACGTTGCCTGAGGAATGGTCTCGCGCGAGGTCGACCCTTCTCGTATCCCGACGACGTAATTAATCCAGAGGTGTTTATCAAGGGTTTGTCACTTTTCTTGCACGCTATTGCCAGATATCGAAGGGATGAAAGTATCCGCAATTGGATCGAATGAAAGGGACACCCAGGAGTGGATGGGGGGGGGGGGAGTCCAACGATAGGCGTTTGAAAAATTTCAATTCAGCTGGTTGTTAAGAACTAACGTTTAAAATTCTCGTAAGAGTTAGCCAATCCAGAATCACTGTTTGTGAGTAATAACTGTTGATGTGAAGCGAAATTGGTCATTTCCTATAAATGCTAAAAATATTTGAAACTTCTAGAGTTTCAATACCCGAGATTTTCCATTTTTCTCTGATACAATAATCGTGCTAACTTTTTCCTAGAGTCAACGCAATGGAAACACTTTTTAATTGGAAAATCTCGTGTGCAATTTGATTACTTGAATAAACGAGACTTTAGACTCCTAGGGAGCAAGACGTTTAAATTTTGTGCCAAAAAAAATGCATTTATCTCCCATCAGTCGGGGCCTTTTCTGAGAATTCTTAACGCACCGCCATAATACACACACATATGACGACACTGCATCATTAGTGGTATTTGTATGTTGTAATTATGGTGTAGTCTATAATATCGTACCTATTTATTTAAGGATTTGTGAAATTCACAAGGTGTCATCAAATTTTTCCTAATGTAGCAAGTTTGAGGTATTTTTCTAACCTTACTCGGGGAAAACAACTTCAGCTTAGTTATAATCGCTGAAATTCTCTTTGACTTTGTTTAAAACGTAGGATTTTTTCGCCTGAAAATGTCGGAGTTTTTTCTATCTTTTTTTTTTGCTGCAAATCCCTCCGATAATGGAGAATTTGCAAATATCTGAAAAGAGATGAATTTTATTTTTAAGTTGAAACTACTGAGTGGACCGATCAAGAGGAGAGCCCTGATTTTTCAATTGAATAATCATTTAAAAAAATATGAAAAATTGACCTCATTTGTTGAAGTGCACGTGTTTGAGTGTGGAGTGCCGGCCGATGATATCACAAGGTGATATATTTCTTCACTTTTGGATCTATTTTCTACGATTCCTTTCACCAGAAAAAATTATAAGAAATACTGCAAACTCGGTTCACTAATCACCCATAAATGAAGCAGTGCAATTTTTTCGTATCCATTTCTCTATAATTTTTCCACACGTAAAACATTTGATTCCCTCGGAGAGCGGCAACGCGGGGAAGTCGCTAAGGGGTTGATTTCGGAATTACCCTAACTTGACGAAATTATTAATTGCCAGACAGCTTTGGGGAAAAATGAGCGTCCGTTTCGACGCTCCGACAGTCCCTCCCTGGCATCCCTTCCTCCTCTCGGGGGCGGCGGCGTGACGCGGATTTCTTTATTCAGGGCTCACAAAGGGCCACACGCCGCCGCTGTTTCTCCGGATCCGTCAACACCTCGGCCTTGACGCCCCTTCGGAGGGCAGGAGGGCAATCCGCTTACTCCCCTCGACGAAGGGATAAAATCTTAAAGAACTCCCTGATTGTTATTCGCGGCGTTAATTGAGCGAGAGTGAATTGCACCCGCCGCCCGCCGTGGTCGCCACCTCCGCACTGCCGTGCTAAAGAAGAACGCCGTATGAGCCTTCAGACGTTGCCAAGTTTCCTTCCATAAAAACCGAATTTACTTGGAAAATTGTGAATATTTTTGTCCAAAATTTTCAGGCAATTTTGTACCCAATGTAATATAAAATATCTGAAAATTTCAAGGAATAACGCGTATGATAGTCGTCATAAATTCATGTTTTATCAAGGGAAATTTGGCAATGCCTTTAATGAGCTTTTTATGAGCCTTCAGACGTTCCCAAGTTTCTTTCGATAAAAACCGAATTTACTTGGAAAATTGTAAATATTTTTGTACAAAATTTTCAGGCAATTTTGCACGCAATGTAATATAAAATATTCGAAAATTTCAAGGAAAAACATGCATGATAGTCGTCAAAAATACATGTTTTATCAGGGGAAATTTGGCAACTCCCGAATGTTCATACGGCGTTCTTCCTTAGCACGGCATGTCAGAGCAGTGGCGAGACGTGAATGATCGGTTATCGATACTACCCCATTTGAAGCTATAGTAAAGAATCGACTTTTAAGGTGTTCGTTGCGAACACCCTGTTTATCGATCCTTTTCCATAGGCTCAATTGGTAGATCAATCGATATATCGCAAAGCCACTGCATCTCAGTTAGCGTCGGGATTATGATGGACTTGTGAGTCGCTACGGCTCGGGGTGAATTATGCTTATTGGGTGTGGTGGAAACGGGGTCGTTTGGGGAGGTGGCTTTTAAAGCTCGCTAAATTGAGAGGAATCGATATGATTTATTTCTCCACGGGAGAGGTTTAAGGAACTTCCGAACACTCAATCGGGAATAGATTATTTTTGTTCGGGGGTTGGGATTTCCTAGCATCGGCGTTTGCAATGCTACCCATCTTGGATTACTTTTTACTCTTTTACTTTAGTACTTTAGTGCGATCGCTGAGAGACTAAATGCTCGATATACTTGAATCGAGTCTCAATACTTATTGGGTTATTTTGAAGCCTCCTGTGGCGGGAACGTATTTGAATTTTTGCATCGTGGTAAATGATTATTGAAAGTGTTTTGATCGCTTGTGATTGTTATTTAATTAAAGCCGTCATTGAAAGAATCCATTTTATCTTTTTCCGTGCGAATAACGTCCTTTAATTTTTACGTATCTGTAAAGTTGCCTCGAGCAAATCACGATTTGAAAAAATAACATTTGTTTACACAGATTTACACAGTCCATTTTCCGTGCACTCTGTAAAATGAAAGACAAAGGCTCTGCCAAAAGGTTCGTCAAAGAGTGATAAACATGCTGGAAGAATGAGCAATTTCGGAGTTCGGGAACTTATTTCGCCCTCCCAATAGAATGGAAACTAAATGGACTGCATTTTGCAATTTGGAGCCACAATATGTAGCTCAGTTCAGAAACGACGTATGGACAATTAATGTCCCTATATGCAGATAAGTGTTTTTATGGTTGGGCCAGAAATGAGAGTTTCTAAATGCAAGATGCAGTCCAAACTATTTACCAGTACGATTGCTAGAGGATACTCAATCAATTTGTGATACCACTATTTCGACGCTTGAGAGCTCGTTTTGCCTACTCTATAAAACGAAGGCGAAATGCGCCGCAAATATAGATCGCGTAACGA